ATTTCAAAAATGCAAATTCTGATAGCGATGCAACAAAAATTATCTGTTGTGAATTGGGCAGCTGAGTTATTTGGAGACACTGATCAGATGTTGAAAATTTTTAAAGATAAATTTTTAAATATTCAAGGTAAACATTTTCCTTATAAAAAGAAACAGATAGTTGCAAGTAAAAAACCAGGTTGGCTCACAAAGAATTTAAGAGATAAAATTAAAGAAAAGCATCATAAATTTAAGAACTTAAAATTTAAATTGGTATGACTGGAGATTGAAAAGATCAAGAAAGTTGGTGAAACAATAAATTAGGATATCCAAAAGAATGTATGAGAAAAGGTTGACTGAAAATGTAAAAATTAACAGTAAGGATTTCTTTGAATATATTAAGAGTAAACAAAATGTTAAGGTGAGGGTAGGGCCCTTGTATCTGATGATTATGAAACGGCTTTATGGATTATGAAATTTTGCTTTTTCTTCGGTTTTTACTAACGAAGATTTAAGCAGTATTCCACATCTTGAACAGTTGATAGATGGAAACGAGATCAAACAAGATGACTGCATTAATTTTGAGCTGTTTAAAAAAAAATTGGGACGTTTCAAGAACGATAAAGCTCCTGGGCCAGATAATATTTCCCCAATGGTTTCGAAGGAAGTTACGGATTGGAAAAAATTGCCACTTGCTACTATTTTTTGTCAGTCCTTGAATAGTGGGCAGGTACCAAAGGATTGGAAGTTAGCTAATGTAACTCCTCTTTTCAAGGAAGGTGATAAAAATGGCCCATTATAGACCCATTAATCTTACATCAGTTGTGGGAAAAGTTTTGGAAAGTCTAATAAAAGATACTTTGCAAAGTTATTTAACAAAGTTTATAATTTTATTGGATAGTCAACATGGTTTCACTAAGTGAAAATCTTGCCTCACAAATCTTTTGACATTCTTTGAAAAGGTTACTACTTATGTAGATGAGGGTAAAGGTGTAAAGTTGGTGTATTTGGATTTTCAGAAAGCATTTGACAAAGTGCCACATAAAAGGCTTGTAAAAAATATCTCCATAGGTGTGGGGGATGCGTTAGCTAATTGGATAAAAGAGTGGCTGGATGGAAAAAAGTAGAGGGTTGTTACAAATGGAGTTCAGTCAAACTGGATTAATGTCACAAGTGGGGTACCTCAGGGCTCAGTATAAGGACCTTTTCACTTTTTGATTTGCACCAATGACATAGATGAAGGAATGGTCAATAAATTACTTAAATTTGCAGATGATAAGGTCTTGGGTGTTATTAGATGTGAGGAGGATGCTGCTTCTTTACGAAAGGATTTAGATCATCTAGTGAGATGGGTAAATAAATGGCAGATGGGTTTTAATTATAATAAATGCAAAATAATGCATGTGGATTATCATGATTTTAATTATAAATATAATTTGGATGGGGATAACCTTAACATTGTCATGAAAAAAAGGGATCTTGGTGTAGTGGTTGTTCAGTCTCTTAAGTCATCCAAGTAGTGTCCTGTTGCTAGTGGTAGAGTAAATAGGATTTTAGGTTGTATCTACAGAATTGTTGAATAGATGTCTAAAGAGGTTATAATTATATTGTACATGTCAGTGGTTAGGCCACATTTGGATTATCGTGTTTAGTCTTGGGCTCCTTACATTAGGAAAGACATTTAATTGTTGGAAAAGGCTCAGAGAAAGGTTACTAGAACGGTGCCTGAGATGGAGGGGTTGTCATACGAGGAGAGGTTGAAATCTCTCATATTGTTTCTTCTTGAAAAAAGAAGGTGTTTAAGATTGTAAATTGTGTTGATGCATCATATTTTTCATACTTAGAGAAAATAGTAGGGGACACAAGTATAAATTTTGGCAGGGTAGGAGTCATCTTCAACTAAGACAGTTTTATTTTTCTAACAGGGTGGTTGGTCTTTGGAATGGGTTGCCTTCGGATGTTGTGAAGGCAGTAAATTTAAGTGAGTTTAAGGGATAGCTTGATAAGTATTTGAATGATAAGGACTGGCTTTAAGAGTTTTTTAACTTATTTGTTAATAGTTTCAGTTTAGTGTATAGAATGTAACAGCCAAGATGAACCAATAGGTCCTATGTTGTTCCAAAACGTTACGTTAACACCGAAGCTGGTAAAGCAGTGAAATGTATTTGACACAACCAAGTTTGATAGTATTTAATTTTGTTATTTCATCTTAGTTGGTCCATTGCACATTATGTAATATATAATTAAAATGAAAGCTGTTTTAGCATTTCCAGTCAAAGATTATTTGAATTATAGTTAATTTTTATTCTTAGACAAAATGTTCTTTACATGTTTATAATCATTTCTTAAGAAACTCTTTTAACTGAAATAGTTCTTCATAAACGAATATTGATATTAAACCAACGCAGACATTTTTCACCCTTTCAGCGCCTCCAAAAACTGTGGTAAGTCAGAAGGATCAGTTTATTGAAGTACAGGAAGGAGAGACAGTCCATCTGGAATGCAATGCCAAGGCAGACTCGGGTAAATTATTTTATGAGTGGTATAAAGATGGAGAAATTCTGGAGACTTACTTTCGTAACAGGTTCGACATAACAGAAGAAACTGGGATTTTACAAATAAGATCAACGAAATGTTCTGATAGTGGGGTGTACACCTGTGAAGCGGTCAATGGGTTTGGAAGTGTGAAGTTCAGTATAAACCTACGAGTTACTGGTATGAGTTTAAACAATTTTTGTCATTGTTCTATTACTGCAATAAGAAACGTAATTGGTTGGGAAATCTGGTTTATATAAGTAACTTATTTTAATTGCCTTATAACATTTGTTTGTAACTGGTAGTATGATAAAAACAGTGTTCATTTGTTTCCATAACAGCTCACCTCCAGAAAAGAAGTGTATATACAATAACATTCATCAAGCTATTTAAATAAACTAACTTAGGATTATAGTGTTTTCTAACTATTGGTTTGATTTTCTAACAAACAAAATTCTACGTCTCGAGCTTTAGGACTGTTTATTCTTTTAATTTTTTCTTTGCATTTTACAAGCATGCAAAAAAAAACTAAATAAATAAAAACGTGTCGTTTATTATTTATTTGTTTAGTTTTCATATAATATAAAGACGCCACCAGGAGCGCTTATATACATTTAGTTTTATATAATTTGGTCTTCCTAAAAGACACCACCAGGATCGCTTATTTACAACTGCATATAGATATGTACATCTTAACTCTTTATGTTCTTGAAAGTTTTTATAACTGTTAAATAGTTTGTGAGCTACGAAACTACCAAAAAAAGAACGGTTTTAGGTTTTATAATAGAGACGTGAAAGTTAAGTGACTTGTCCAGTTCCGTGACTTACTCTTTAACCAAGGTCACCACTTTCCTGAAAATCTAATTATTTCGTCAAATAATATTTAAAGTCTTAAAAATATGTTTTGTTAATATACGAAAACTACGAGTCCAACAGTACATTTTGTGGAACCATCAGGAAATATGCGTTGCTTTGGTTCTCTCGAGTTTCTCCATAACAGTTATAAACTCAACGACGAAACTAAGTATTCTGCACACAGCAAAACTTATTTACCAAACGAATCAGTAATGTAGAAATGTACTTATAACTTCTTACAAACGTTGTTTACATATGTTAATGTAATAAGAAAAGTCGAATCTTTTAACGGATTTCGTAGCGTTGTTATCCAGTTTATTTTAGATGTACGTTAATTGTACTGTGGATAACTTCCAGAGAAACTAAGGTTATTTATGCTGAAGAGAAGCCGTTGTTGCTACGCAACCGGTTAAATAAAGAGGAAATTTGTAAATAAATAACAGTCTGTAAAAAAAAGATTCAAGTTTTATTATACATGTTCATCTTGAAGTGAAGCCGCCTTGAATTACAGTATATGTTAATGTAATATATATTTCTATAATTTATACTATAGCAGATCCAAGTCATCAAAAACCTCAGATACAAACACCTCATTCGCAGAATATCACTGTTAACGAGGGTAATCCAGTGGTTCTACAGTGTAAGGTCTCAAGTACAACTGAACCAGTTATAAAGGTAAGCACCGTACTCTCTAACACTGTCGTATTCTCAGTATCTCCCATTTTTAACAAACTGATGACACAAAAGTTGGTGTTAAGTAAAATATATTGATTCTTTACGCAAACTCGATCGAATGGGTCACGTCACATCAAAACTTTTTTTTTCTACTCCATTCTTCGACATGTTACTTATTAGAAATCGAGCTAAATGAAACTTTAAATTTAGTAGTTAAATTGTACTTTGGATTTAGCAGTTAAGTAAATGCCGATATATATCCAATTTACGTTATTTGCCAACAAGATTGATACAGAGTTTTTTTAAATACAAACATGTTTTAATATACAAAGAATAATACAATTTACAATAGCAGTTATGACAAACAATGATTTATAAACAAAAGTTTCACAAACTTACAAGCAATATAAAGTTTTTTTTCTAGTCTGGAACTTTTTCGATATCTTATCGAGGATTCATGATGAGCGAGTTGATTACGAGTTGACGTAGGTATAATTCACTTACCAGAGAAGCTAGCTAGCTTTGTCCTTCGTTATTCACCAGCTACACACGCCAAGTTTTCCACTGTTTAAGTTAGTTAATATTTTCGTAAAAGTACTCATGTCCGATGATAATACACTGAAGTTAAATAAGTTGTAATGTTCGAACTTTGTAAAT